ACGCCAAATTGCACGGATCGATTGCGAAGTTCCACGAACGTGTTTGCATCCCATCCAGCAAATTTTATATTCAAAGTTCTTTCGGGTGAGCAAACAACTTTTCTACATTGTGAATGTGGTTTGTGGCCAAGCAACTCCACCTCACTTCGCAAGTTTTTCAACTTCTGCAGGTTAGTTGTCTTCAATTAGTTCACTACACAGGGCGTCGCATCTTCCGTCGCACTTCGGTCTGTCTGATCCACTTTGTGATTGTCAACAGTCTGCGCACAGAAATAACACTTTTCGGCTGTTAAACTTTCGTTCACTATGATCTTCGGTGTTTCCTCGACATGCTTTCAAACAATGGTAGAATCCCAATCTTTCTTAAGTCAACAAATTCCGTGTTTCGCAAATTGTCAAGCGTGAGTGAATGATTCTTGTTCAGAAAAACACACGTTTTGTGACAAAACAATCAACGAAAAGCGCGCGGGCAAAAAAACGGCCAATGAGATTTAAGCAGGAACCATTGCGTCACTTGCGCCCGCAGTTTGCCTCATAGTAAACACTTTGCAACTTTTTGCAAACGATGTTTGCAAACTTGTCAGATAGAAAACTAATGCAGTACCACACTGCAGTTGATTTCGTTTTAAAAGAAGTAAGCTAACTTTGACACGGAGGTAACTGTTAAAAGGAAATTTTTCACTGCATTGTAAACTTAACCTGGACTAAAACTCTGACCTATTGATTAGCAAATCTTTGATAGTAGGACGCATTTTTATTTCAATATTAAGATGCTATCGAAAAAGTTACAACTTACAACTTTATGTGCAAACCCTAAAAATATCAAAACATTGTTTAGTATCCAAAAAGGGACCACCAATCATCAATAGTAGATAATACAATATTTAACATAAATGTTTCTACCTAACATACCTAATAAAGCCCAGAAATATCATATAAATAGACATGTGTAGGTCTTACATGCAAATGTTTGTCTCTGGCATTGGTGCAAAATACAAGAACTGCAACTACACTAACTTTTCATTGTTTACAAACTTACAATTTTTTTTGACAAGCTCTTTTTTTCTGTTTTTTCTCTTTCAAAATGTTGCCTCTAAATTACAGAGAGTACAGGTACTTTATTCTAAAAACAACCTCAGCGGTCCATAACATATGCAATATGGAGGTATTGCCAAATAAATAATATACTTTAGCAACCATCTAAAAATTGTGGATTATCTCAAAATCCTTCTTACAATGATTCTAAGGTGACTCAGAGATTTCTTTTAAATCACAGCCTAAATGGAACTCTTCTCTCAGCTTTAAGATACTTTGCAATATTAGATCTGCCAGCAAAATACTCATAAAATGCCTTAAGCTTTGGAAAATTTTCCAAAACATCTATTGTAGGTGCTTCATCATCTCCAAAGTTAAGTCTTCCAAACTCAACATAAGTATCTAGGAGATCAAACATGACATAGTCCACCCACGTCATTCGATTGCTAGCAAAGAACAATCCATCGGCATCAGTGCTGTTGTCTTCAACAGGGGCAAGCTTTTCAAAATATGACAACCAAGTGTACACAACTGATTGGATGTGATCATCCCGTAACTTGGCAGAGAATTCTGGATTATAGAGGACTGGGCCAAGCTTTGCTCTCAAATCCTCTGAAACACAAGAAATCAAATTAGTAATGTAATATATTCTGATAATGGAGTCAATGGTGATGATAATAATAATCCAACACCAAATTCTCCAAACTAACATTACAAGAACTGTATGACAGACAGTTAGGAGAATTACCAATGAGATCTTGGGAGTTAAAGGGTTAATTAAGAAAGTGCAAACTTTCTCTAGCATCTCCCTACTGTCTAGCAAAGAGAGTTCAAAACATTAAAGTTATCATCTTAAAGATTAATACTATCTTCACCCTTTTAAACTTTCAAATGTAATTTGAAAATGATAATAATAGCAATATTTTTAAATCTCTCTGCAGTTTAAGGTATCTTGGCCCATGCTTCATTAATCGTTTTACTTGGGGCAGAGGAGCTCAGATTACATCATCACAATGAAATGTGCTGCACATAACATGAATCACCTTAGAGTAACCTTGAAATGTGAGAATGTGTGAAGTATGATCAGCTAAATACTCAAATGTATCTTAACTTAATACTCTGGAAATTTGGAAATATACAGATGAATCTTTACCTAACTCACATTTATCTTAACTTGTTAGTCTGGAAATGTGAAAATGTGAAAATCAGGAAACATGCCTTCCTCAGTTCACAAATGCTTCCATAAGTTCATCAGTATACAGTTATTAACTGAGAAGGTGGCACAACGTTTTTTTTTTTATTTCCTCTCATTCTTTAGATTTCCTAATTCCAAATCAATACTTTTCTACATAAAAAATCCCAGAGTTTATTACCCCAAGGGAATTAGGACATTATATGCAAATTACCTGCACCAAACACCAGGGTTTCACAAATATGAATGTCTGAACAGTCACAATCAAGACCCACTGACCGGCCAATATGATGCATAATTACTAAAATATATGAAACAAATACAAACAACATTACTAGCAATTTACTAAGCTTTCCATTATAATTGGTCTTATTTAACCCTTAAATCCCAATAGCGATTAACAAGAAACTTATTTTACCAGGAAATAAATGGCAGCTAGAGGGGAGAATTAACAATCAGATCTTGGGATTGTTTAACTGACTCATTATCAACTCAACCTTAATGTATATCAATTAACTAACTCTTCCTTTGAGAGTAGTGTACAGTTTAGTTGTCAAATATGAGAAAGTTGTCATGAGAATAAAAGAAATGATTTCCAACTCAAGAATCTCTTGATTGTTGAACAAATTCTCCTAGTCAGCACCTTAGGAAATGTATAGAGAACAGTGTAGAGAATATGCATATATAATGATGTTAGGGTGTAAAGGGTTAAACTATTTCAGGAAACTAAATGGACTAAAATTTCCCACCATAAAGAAACAAAAGGTTGCAAACACACACCTTTACTCTGAACAAGTTGTAATCCCGTAGTAGTAGTAATAGCTGGAACTAGAGAAAAATAAACTGTTAATATTTCACTTTACTTCTGACATATTTGCATATTTTGCATATAGTCATCTCATGAAAATCTAGTAGGATAATATTCATTTTCTATGATGTAAATAGGGTATCTGAAAATACAAAAATGGAATTAATGAAATAGGTAACCATTTCATGAAAGTCTCAACTTCTTTTACAACTTTGACAAAATTGTTATTTCCAAGATCTCTGTATTTTTGCATTAAGAGAAAAAAAGGAAGGATTTCCAAAGAAACTACCAGCAAGTTTCAAACAAGCAACTTCTAATATTTTAACTTTGAGTCATGAATATTTCATGGTGAGTAAACACCTGTTTGACGCCTCGGCGAAATTTGATAAGCTAAAATCCTGCACAAAAAATCTACTGAGTAAATGAGGGAAAAAGTAGATGAAAAAATGAATCTAGAAAAGTTATTCTAAAAAAATGTTGTAATATTTCCAGATTAAGCACTACGTTTTGTTTTACTATAATTGATTATTTCGGCTTTCAAACCTTTACAACTTGCGTGATTAAAAGTCTTAAAACATCATGTAAATGAAAGGTGTTTCTAACATTTGAAGAAGGTCACCAAATAGAGATATTGCGCTAATATTTCAAGCACCTCTTCTCTCTTACCTTGACCAAAAGTAAACAGGCCTGTTTCTATTCCTTTTTCTTTAATTACCGGCCAATCCGCCTTAGAAAAATTAGTCTCTGAGTATTGTATTTCAGAACCTTCCATTATCAGTCGTATACCCTCGGCGCGTCCTCTTGTTCCAAAATAATGCAGCGTCACCTGGCCTATACTTGCAATTGGAGAACAGCCTCTCTTTCCATGAATAATCTGATTTATCTTATTAAAAACGAACTGTGCTTTACCACTGTAGAAGATAGCAGCTATTAAAGCAATTAAGGCGAAAGTGAGTTGCAGGCTCCATCTTTCCGCCATTTTGGAATAAATTAAAAAGAGCTTCCTCGCGGAGTTTCGAAGGCTTGGTTACCGATTACCCACTTGCACAGTCACATGCGCGGCTGCATAGTTAAATAATGACAACATCTATTTGCGACTTCAGAAAATTTTCGTTTTCAGTGTAAACTGCTTATATTTTTAAAATCCCTTTTACGATGTTTTCTTTTGATGGACAGTACAAAAGTAGGAGGGCTGTTTCACTCGGAGGTGCAAGTAAAAAGGTAACGTTCCCGTTGGTTTTATAGTTACAAGTAGTATATCATACAGAAATGTCATTTGTTAGTAGACTTTTGTCTATTACCACAAAATTGTAAAAGTGAATTGTGATGGAATCATTCTGCTCTGTCACCTAACTTTCCTACAGTCTTTATCGCTGAAAGAGCTCTTATAATTGTTAGCACGTTTTGACAGATCGAGTAGTATTGTATGGTGTAACATGTTGGAACACGTACAAAGACATTCTGTGATTTACTTTCATAGTCAGCGTTAGTTGGCAGCTAAACTAGTGTCTGTGTTGCATTACATTATAAGCTGAATTATATACGCATTTTGGTTGGTTCTTACTTATGATCTATTGGAGGACAGACACATAGATGACCTCACCATTAACAAAATTTTTCTTTTTAATCATATAAAACAAATGCATGCTATGTCTTTGTGGGTCTGTTCAGTAATGAATCACAGAAGACGTCACTGTGTGGGAAGAACATCCGTGACACACTCGGCTGTACCTCATGTGCCACTTTTTGTTCTTACCATATTTTGACATCATTTTAATTTATTACCGAACAGACACAACAACTCAGAATTTGTTTGTTAATTTGGGAAATCAATTATAATAGATCTAACAACCAGTCAACAATATGATCATCAGTGAGAAAACATTTTGACACTTTGGGGCTAAATTCTTAAAAGCTTTACCAGTACTTGTAATACTTGTAGGAACAAAGATCCTCCTTAATTCAAAGAACTCAAGCAGAAAGACAGAAAAGAGAGGTAAAGTATAAGGATATTTGGTGATTTTTTTCCAGGATTATTAATGTGCAGTACCTGAGACAAGAGATTTAGATAATAACTGTATTTCTGTTTATTGGATCCCAGGATCTGCGTCGCAAAACTGCAAGTGTTATCGTAATTCAGTCTTTTCTCCGTGGAGAGAGGGTGAGACATCAACAGGTATGGCTTCTAATCAGTTCTAATTTATTTAACCCTTTACACCCTAACATCAGTGTGTATATTCTCCATATTGTTCTCTATACATTTCCCATGGTATTGACAAAGAGAATTTGTTTAGCAATCAAGAACTTCTATGGCTGGTGATCATTCCTTTTTTTCTCATGACCTCAGTGTTTGTTTTAGGGGTGATCCTGATAGGAGAAATTAGTTGCTAATCACTCTTAGGGGTTAAAGGGTTAACTAGTATAATTTGATATGTGAGATTTAGTTAAAGCAGGACAACAAGGGTCTTGAAAGAATGTAATCTTCTGTGCACATGTAGAAGTATGATTGCATGTGATATCTGTTTTTTATCCCTTTCTTTTCTTTCAGTATGAGCTTCAGAGAATTTCATTTGATAAGGCAGTCAGCTCATTAGAAGGATCCAAAGATACTCCAACAGCAGATGTCATTAGAAATATACTAAGAAAGCTTCTTTTCTTTCATTCTGACTCCAAGGACAAAGAGAGACTGGTAAAAAAAAAATGATAAGCCTAACCATGTAACTCAATTTGTTACAATTAATGTTATGAATTGTAGTAAATCTAGACATATTTAAAGGGGTAAGTTTCTAAAGAAACTGTGGTGCTGCGTCGGTGGGAGAGTATAGCAGGTAATTTAGTGTTAACAACTGAGTTGAAAACGTTAATTAGCCACCGTAAAAAGGGTAAAAAAGCTGACGTTTCGAGCTTTAGCCCTCCATCAGAGCTCTGATGAGAATGATGATGAATAATCAATTAGGAGATTATTAGTTGATTCAATACAAAATTCTTAAAAATAACGTCATAAGAATTGTATGGCAGACAGTAAAGAGAATTACTATTGACATCTTGCAATGGATAGTTAAACAACATTAGCTATAAACAGTGTAATCATTTTCTTTCTTTTCTTTCAGATTTGGATGTGCCAGTTTCTGTTAAAGAATGGAAATACTGTGCAAAAGTTACAAACAAGTGATCATCAAATTTGGCTTCATAACATCAAATGCCTTCTCTTGATCTGTAGCAGGTAAATTAGAATGTCCATATCTTTTCCTTTAATTCCCTTTCTTAACCTCTTCTTCAGAATGCTTCAAAAGCACCAACCTTCTGTTATTTATTATCCAATCCCATGAAACATAAAAGTAAGTAAAAATAAGCAATGAATGCTGTTTGTTTTTGAGCCATAAGAGAGGGTCATGATAATTGAGCTTTTACAATAAAGAAATGACTGGGCTTGCTTAGTATCAGACTAACTTTGGTCCTTCTATAAACCTAAGTACTATCTTGGATATATGATTTTTTGCCTGGTTTAGTCATCATGGGCTTCTGTAGGGGTTTCATTAAAAAACCACATAACAGGGGTCTACCACTGCCTATAAAACCTCATACCAAGGTCTGTTTAGCTTCACACCAGACTCTGGTATTTGGGTTTGGCCTTACATTCCTTTTCTAGGCACAGGTGCCTTTTACATCATTGCCAGCTGCTTATGGAAAAAGTTATGGGAACCCCTGGCTTCCCCTGAAAATCAAGAACAATTTTAATATACCTTTATTTGAATATTCTAACAGCAGTAAGTAATGTTCAGACTGTTATCACTTATTTGTAGAGACCCATTTATTGATAAGATTTGAATACAAATTTCCTTTTCAGATATATTTTCTCAGCATCTTTTCATGGAATTTGTACCTTTCCCTCTCTCCATCTTCTGCTTTTAAACAATATTTTGTTTTGACCACTGGATAGTATTTGCATTGCAGAGGAAATTCAGAGAAATGATGAAAGTTATCTCCACAGATCACTAGAGACATCAATCAGAGATTCTAAAGCTTTTGCTATTCAGCTGCGTATGTTGGAAGTTTTCACCTCCCATAATTCATACTATAATCCTAATGATCCTGCCAGAAGTAGAAAGGATGCCGCAATGGTGACAGTTTACCTTGTCAGAAATGGTAACTACAGATGTATAACCCTAGGCAAGACGTTTATGTTACACAGCAGTTTCTCACAGACTGTGTACTGTACTTCTTTTGCTTAATGTCAATTTTATAATTATGAACTTAAAAAGTATTATTCAGTGACCCCTGTTAGATGTGGTCTTTTATTTCCAGGACTCTTTTTCATACAGTTCTTTACTATTATTGGGCTGAAGTGTATCATTTATTTGTCATGTGAGGGATTAATATTATTATTATTATGTCTAAAAATCACTTCTATGTTGACTTTCTCAAATTCACCTTTTTTGCATGTACATGTTTAATTTCATTTTTCATGTGTGTGTCAGTTTGTATTTATGTACATGAATGTATGCATAACTACATTAATTTGTGTAGTCTGCTGAAGATCCCTTCTAAATATTATTACATTTCATGTATCCCATTACCAGGATATTTTAGATATTTGCGTGTTCTGCTGAATGCCAAAGTTCCATCCAGCTTAGAGCCATCTACTGTCCCCCCTACTCCAATGGCTGCTGCTATCAGAGACCTGGTGATGAACCCACTTTACTTCAGCAGCCAGTCCAGAAGTGGAGAAGAATCTGCATTTACTGCAAATGATAGGTAAATTTTATTTTCCTCCTATGCATTTCTGTACTGTTTTCCTCTCCTTCATGACACCAACTGAGAGCTACCCAGCTTCTTCAAATTTTAAGTTAATCTTGCTACTGGTTCCCAGCATTTATTTGGGAAAATTATAAAAGTTAGAGAGTTTGCAAAAAATAATGTTATGCAAAAGTTAACATAGATTATTGTATTGATCATATAATTATGACTTAATCTGCTGTGGTTCAATTTGTTCTTATCTTAAAACTTTTAAAATATTTTTATTGTCATTTGTTTTACTGAATTATAGAGAAAAGAAAAAGAAAAGTGTAACTGGTTAGGAAACATTTTAGCTCTGAATAAAAATTGAACCTTGACACATAAAAAGAAATTCAATCAAGAAATGTTTTTATCTGAAAGAAATTTTAAGAGATGAAAATAAGCCAGACAAAAATTAATTAATTTCTATTTTTGGTTTTTTCAGGCATGCAGTATTTTCAGCACTCATTTCTGACATTCTTTGTCCAGAAATGACAGAGCAAATCATCTGTTTTTTGCTACCATCAATAGCAGACCAATCTGCAAGATTCCCTTTTAGTCACTTGTTAGAGACCCTCCTGACAGTATTAACAAAGGCTGATGAATCAGGGGTGACCAACAGTAAGATCACCCCTACACCCTGGCTACTGTATGGAGTATTAGCATTTGTTAATACACATTTAGGTTTGTTCACCTGACTGTTTACTGTGTTCAGTAGTAAAATCTTCATTATCGATTTTGTAATTTCCACCTTCTATAACAACAGTACTGTATACCGTGATTGATAATTTCTTGGTGAGCTGCAGATCTAACAAATTCCTTTTACTAACCAAGGTCAAAGTCCAAGTAAGTGATGGACCAATTTTTTTGCTGGGATTTATGGCCCAAGCATGAAATGAACAAGTCAAAAATCTGATTGAAAAAATGAGGTTTCAGTATAAAACAAAAAAGCAAGGTTTGTAAGATTTTATTTCCTCTCTGAGTTTAAATAGAGGGGAAAGATTTCAATTCAAAATAAAAACCTTCCATCTACAATGAAATATAGCTTGTTAAAGTGACCAGTAATAGCACATGTACTAACTGAAAGATGCAATAAACCACTGGAATTGATTGATGATTTAAAAGTTTAAGTCTCATGTGCAGTCTGCTATGTGTACAAGCATTCCCAGAAATACTGTCTGTAAAAAGAAAGAGACTCAGGTTTAAAA